CTCCCTCCCCCCCTCGCTCTCTCTCTCTCTCTCTCTCTCTCTCTCTCTCTCTCTCTCTCTCTCTCTCTCTCTCTCTCTCTACGAAAAGAAGAGAAGCGGCGCTTGGCACAGGACAATGCCGATGTGGAGCTGCAGCAGCGAGCCGTGGAGCTACTGCAGCTCTCCCGGGACGAGGCCCAAACGCCCGTGGGGGCGGGTTTGGGGACTCCCCGCGGTCGCCTGAATCGCCCCCGCTTTTCCAGGAGAACCTGGACCAGGTGCTGAGACCGATGCCTCCGTCGGAGCCTCGGATGTTCGCATTGTCTACGCGTCCTTGTTGGCGCCGGTGGAGAAAGTGTCCAAGCTCCCAGGTACGCAGAGAGCGTGCAGAAGAACAACCCTCTGGCCGGCCAAAGAGGGCCATAATGTGCCTTTTTACGTGGCAGACTTCGAATGCCAGGTCCAGCGCCTGAAATTCTCGGCCAAGAACAGGGCGCACACACGTGCGGAGCTGGAGGAGGCCAGCAATCTTTCTCCCTTTGGTTGTTTTCGCAGCGACACAGCGCGAGACGACTGCAAGCTGCGGATGGTGATCTTCTTGTCTGCAAAGGCGGCGAAGAGCGAAGGCGGCATGTACAAGCCAGGTGTGGCCGGGGGAGGGAAGAGAGGGGAGCAGAGAGCATAGTGAAGGCAGCGGAGCGTGGGACTTCTAAAGGCCGTGGAAAGGCCGAGAGCGACGGGAGGATCATGGAGCTGCCGGACCCAGGAGGGACGGCCCTGATGTTTCGCTGATATGGCCTTTTGAAAAATGGGCGTGCGTGCGCGCCAGGGTCTGTCTTGATAGACGCTGCGTCAGGCCGTCCCAAGGCCAGCTCCCCTGCTTCGCCGAAGGCAGGGCCCCCCCAAGGACCGGCTCTTTCGAGCTCCCCTCGCTGCGCATATCTCGGCAGGTTCAGGATGCGTCGGGGCAGGAAGCTCGAAGAGACCACGGAAAAACGACCGCGACGAGAGCTGAAGCGTTTAAAAGGCTGATTCTGGCCTCCCAGGTCCGAGTCGTCGGACTCCGAGGAAGGCTGGAAAGGGTCGGGAGGTTCTTCCTCCAGCGGGTTCCAAGGACATGATTCGTATCATGATGCTGCAAAAGGGGGCGGGGTGGGGCGGAGAGAGACGACGCTTTTGGTGGTGCAGATGCTGGACCCGCACGGAGCAACGGCACGGCCGCGGGTGCAGGGAGCAGCCCAAAGGACACCTCGGCGTCGTGGGGGTTTTTCAAGCGGCTCGGAGCCTGTCAGAGCGAGTTGCAGGACTTATGGTCGCAGCTTTGCATCCTGCCGCAGGGCAGGCGCCGCAAGCTCGCAAGCCCGATTCTTGGCTCTGCTCTCGGCATAATATCTCGGCAGGTTCTACACCTCGCCACAGCTCGTCTTGGAGCTGAAGCAAGAGTGCGCAATCGCTCTGCTGCAACAAAAGCTCGTGTGTGGCGGCTCTGTCGGACTGGGAGGTACAATACTGCGACAGGCCGCCTGACGATTACCTTCGTCAACTCTGCCAAGGACTCCGACAGGGGCCGTTGGGCTCACCTGCTGCCGCACTCTGCTTCCGCGCTCTGCTGCCAAGCTGCAGGCTCCTATAGGCAACATCCGAGTCCAGATTCCGCAGGCGCGGCTGCCAGCTGCGATGACCATGGTCATGAATCTCGAACTCAGGTGGATTACATGCGAATCCAGACCTTCAGTGAGGCGGCCAAAAGGGTTCCGGAACGAGGCCCTTCAGAGCAAAGCTGCGAAGGTGCCCGCTTCATTGAAGCCTGGCGAGCAGGCCCCGATTTCTAGAAAAACTCGAGCTTCGTCGTTCAACAGGATCTCACCGAACCGAGGCCAGCCACTTCGTCCAGGTTCAGTGCCTGCGCCCCTTCCTACAGCCCGCCAAGTACCTGGTGGAGCGGCTCGGCTCCGCCTTGTCGACACCCTAAACCACAAAGAAACCCTTGTCACAACCCTAAACCCCAAACCGCAAGAAACTGTGGGCCACCCTAGGTACTGCACAGCTCCTGGCGAACCACCTCAGCAGCTGCCGCTGCTGCTGCCTGTGACCCAGAGGTCGAAGCAGCTTTTTGGAAAGCATCCCGAAATGCAGGCTGCCTCCAAATCCCCCACCCCCCCTTTACCCCGGAGCCGATTTCTTTTTCAGAAGTTCAGCTCCTATGCGAACGTGGCTCACGTTCCTTCTTCCAGGCCCGCCGTCGTGACGAAATTCATGACGCCCGCGCAAGTGCAGGTGTGGGTCATGGTGTTCTTACTATGCAGAAGCTCGAGTTCGTCTGCTCTCTGACAGATGGGCCAGTTTCGGCCTTTCTTTGAAAGCTTGACGGGGCCGCGGGAGCTCGTGTTGGATGGCCAGGCTGCTCTCTGCAGAGACTTGCTCTCCTTTCTTCGCGGCCCATAATAAGCGGGCTTGCAAAGCCGCCTAAGAAGGCCAAAGCTCAGCCGAGCGAGTGGGCCAAGTATCTGGAGAAGGCCTGGGGTTTCGGGGGGGCTGAGAGCCGAGCGGGCTGCAGTGGGCGGGCTGAGTCATATCTCTCTCGTGTCTCCTCTTCACTTTCACTGCAGGGCTTCAACATGTTCGTCCTCCCTGAGAGTGGGCCGACTGCAGCCTTCGCTGCAGGCGCGATTCCTCGTGCAGTGCCGTGCAGCGCAGTTATGTGGGAGCCTCTGACGGAGCCAGCCCCGGTGAGGCACGCTGAACACGGCCACGCCTGACCCGCAACAGCCCGAGAAGATGATGACCGTCCCTGTCCTTGCCCGGGGCCCAGTTACCAGCTTTAGCTTTGGAGGGCGCTCCAGAGAGCAAAGAGCTTCTTCCAGGTCCGTTTGCAGTACGACGGGCGCCGGCTCTTGCGGCTCATCGTCCGGACCCAGCACCCCGAGGCGAGAACGTCGTGAACGAGAGAGGCGCGGTTTTTCCTTTTGACTCTCTCGAAAGGTTACCAACGCCATCGGGAAGATCATGCAGAGCTACCTCCTTGCGCCTCGTCTGACACAAAACCTCGGCGGAGGGGGGGCGCCGACTCTGCGTCCCTTTGCCTTTTGCCAGCTCCCAAGGCCGGCTGAGCGACGGAGCGCAGAGCGGAGCAGAGCGGAGCGCGAGCGCGGTTTCACCCCTAGCTTGGAAAAAGGCCCGCTCAGATGGACGCCGGTTTCCCACGCACGTCCGTCTCTGACTTCTAGCAAAGCGGACAAGAGATCGAAGCTGAGCCAAATGAGCCAAATTGTGAAGCAAAGCGCAACAGGGCCATGCTCTCAGACTGCGGCCTGGCAGAGTGTTATGACAAGTTTCATGCCAAAAACGCGCCCCGGTCGTGTGTGGCTCGCCGGCGAAACCTTGAAGCTGACACCTTAATCTTTAAACTCTCAACCCCCGAACCCCAACCCCACCACTTGAAAGCTTAAGACTTAAGCCGGAACCAAGAACCTTGGACTTAGACCCAACTCGCAGACGCGACAAAGCAACTCCCAGGCCCGAAACCGTAAACCCTCGTCCCAACACCCAAAACCTCAACCCTAAAACAGCTAAAACCCCCCAACCGCCAACCCAAAACCCCAATTTCATCCCACAACCCCAACCCAAACCCCAAGAAGGTGACCTTAAAGCCTGAACCCTTCATCCCGAAATCCAAGAACCTCAATCTCAACCCCGACACCGACCCCAAAGCCTGCACCTTAAACCGTCAACCTTAAACCGTAAACCCCAAACCCTGAACCCCAACCCGAAGCCCAAACCCAACACGCAAGCGGCGAGTGCAATGCAGGGGAGGCTGCGGGGGGCGCTCCAAGAAGCACTCAAGTTTTAGTGCGCCATGTGTGCACTCTAACCGTGCTGCGCATATGAACCGGCGCACCATTGCAGATATGAACCCCAAAGCAGTTTTCGCATATGAACCCTTGCCATACTCATGCCATGCTTGAACTGTAGAGATGTGAAGGTTGCACGTGTGCTCCTTGCTGCACCTGAATTGGACAGCCGTTTTGGTTCTTGCAAGTCAGGGATTCGGTCCGCACCATGGAGTTGAAAGCGAAGGTTCTAGTCTTCCTCGTGGTCGCTTGCGTGGGAGTGGCCGCTGTAGCTTCAGGTGCTTCCAAGGAGCCGACCATCAATGGTCCTGTGATCGGCGTAGATCTTGGGACCACTTACTCTTGCGTCGGCATCTACAAGCAGGGCAGAGTCGAGATACTTCCCAACGACCAGGGAAATCGCATCACACCCTCGTATGTGGCGTTTACTGATGAAGAGCGGCTCATAGGCGAGGCCGGAAAGAACCAGGCCGCGGTAAATCCCACACAGACCTTGTTTGACGTGAAACGTTTGATGGGGAGACGCTTCAAGGACTCAACCGTGCAGGAGGACATGAAGCTGCTACCATTCAAGATTGTGGAGAAGGGCGGGAAACCGATGATCAGCGTCAAGGTGAAGGGTGCGGAGAAGATCATGCCTCCGGAGGAGGTGTCCTCCATGGTCCTCGCAAAAATGAAGGAGACAGCTGAGAACTATTTGGGCCAGGAGGTTCAGCATGCGGTCGTGACTGTACCGGCATACTTCAATGATGCACAGCGCCAGGCTACCAAAGATGCAGGTTCAATTGCAGGACTTCAGGTGTTGCGGATCGTGAA